TGGGATCCGAACCCTCGGGCGGGAGCGCCGCTGCGCTTCCCAAGCGGCGCACCATCCAGTGTGCCACCGGGCTGGCCCAACACTAAATTTATTTTAAAAATTAAGTAATTGCGCTATGAACATTAAGTCACCAGCGGGTAAGAATTTTTCAGCTCCATTATAATCTTATGGGACCAGCATTGTATATGTGGTCCAATGTTGACTGAAATGTTGTAATGCAGTGTATGATTGTATTCCAAAATGTGAAAAAGTCTGAAATCCAAAACGCTTTTGGTCCCAGGCCGGCCCCTGGCTCACTTGGAAGAGTGTAGTGCTGATAACACCGAGGCCACGGGTTCAGATCCCTATAGAGGGATGGCCGGTTAGCTCACTTGGGAGAGCCTGGTGCTGACAACACCAAGTCAAGGGTTGAGATCCCCTTACCGGTCTAAATTTATTTTAAAAATTAAGTAATTGCGCTATGAACATTAAGTTACCAGCGGGTAAGAATTTTTCAGCTCCATTATAATCTTATGGGACCAGCATTGTATATGTGGTCCAATGTTGACTGAAATGTTGTAATGCAGTGTATGATTGTATTCCAAAATGTGAAAAAGTCTGAAATCCAAAACGCTTTTGGTCCCAGGCCGGCCCCTGGCTCACTTGGAAGAGTGTAGTGCTGATAACACCGAGGCCACGGGTTCAGATCCCTATAGAGGGATGGCCGGTTAGCTCACTTGGGAGAGCCTGGTGCTGACAACACCAAGTCAAGGGTTGAGATCCCCTTACCGGTCATCTTTGAAAAAGAAAAACAAACAAAAAAACCCACCCCAAACGCTTCTGATCCCAAGCATTTTGGATAAGGGATAATCAACTTGTAGCAGTAGGTCAGGGGAGCAAATGTGAATGAGCAACTGATGCTGACCCTAAAAATTCCAACATGTATAATTAAGTGACAGATTGAAAGGGAAATAGAAATAAAATCTGGCATTGTGGAAGGATGGAGGAAGAAGAGTTGGTAAGACGTTTGCTATAATTTGCTAAATATGAAGTGACAGTAGGAAATGCAAGCAGCTAGAAAGGCATAAACAAAAGAAATTGGGTCTCATTCCACAGTTTATACAGCAAAGTTCATAACACTCTCCAAGTAATAGAATGCCAATGGTAAAATAAAAAGAAACAAGGAAACACATTTGCAATCAAGAAGAGGTGAAGAGCCAGCAAAGTAGATGGAAGATGCAATCAAGATACATAGCAAGAATACCAAGACAATTTATCATAATAGCAAAATGTAGTACAATTAGTTTCAAGAATAAAGTAGGGCTCTGGAAAGAGAAAATAGAAAAAGGAGGAGAGGATATAGTTGAAGATAAATAGCTGACAATTTTTTCAGAATTTATGAATGCCATGATTCATTGGAATGAAGAAACACTATAAGTAAAATAAATAAAGATATATCTAAATGTAGACTTTTGATAGTGGCACTGAAGACAAAGAGAAAACTTTAAAACCCAACTAAGAAAAAAAAAAAGGTTGCCTAGAAATAAATAAAAATGAAAAGGCAACAGAAGGACGTAAGATTACTATCTTTGAAGTGCTGATAGAAAATAAATGTCAACCGGGAAATCTATAAATAGCTAAACTATTGGGAATGAGGGTACAAAAAAGCTTTTTAGACACTGTCTGATTTTCCAGTCAGAAATCCTTGGTGAAAGAATTAGAGGACCTCAAGAAGAAGAAAAGTAAAACCAGAAAGAAGGAACAATGAGCAGGAAGCAAAAACAACAAAAAGGCCACGAGGATTGATAATTGGAAAATTATTAGTGACCATGAGAAGTCTCCTTTAATAGAAAGGTACAGGGCTACTAAATTAACATGGAACAAAATGATAATGTATAGGATTTTCAAGGTTTACTTTTGATTCCCACTGAAAGTGATTTTACTCTGATGTTAAATTAAAATAGTAGATGTGGGTATACATTCTAAGACCCCAGTGGATGCCTGAAACCACAGATAATACCAAACCCTATATACGAGGTACTTCAAAAAGTTCATGGAAAAATGGAATTAAAAAGTAATACAAACCTTACCACAAACTTTTAAAAGTACCCTTGTGTTTTTTTCTATATATACATACCTATGATAAAGTTTAATTAAGATTAAGTTAATCTGGCAAAACACATTGCCGTCAATTGGAACACAGAAATGTTCACGTCTTCCGCCCACAAATTTAATGTCTTTTCCATCTTAACTAAGCACTAATAATGTACTGTAGCTGTAACTTTGGCAGTTGGAGGTTTGACAGCAAAACTGGCATTAATTTCTTTTTCCTTTTTCACAATTTCATGATTAGAGGCTTCATTTTTATCATAGATCTTAGCAACCTCATCATATGATCTTTTTTCTTTTCTTAGGTAGAGAACTTCCACCTTTTTACTTAAAGAAAGCACTTTACAGCTTCTCTTTGGTACATCTGTATTGCCAGCATCACTAGTCTTGCTATTGGACAGGTAGGCATATACAACGTGGATATGTTGGACAAAGAATGATTCATATCCCAGGCAGGATGGAGCAAATGGCACAAGATTTCATTACGCTACTCAGAATGACATGCAATTTAAAAGTTATGAATTGTTTATTTCTGGAATTTTCCATGTAATATTTTCAGACCATGGTTGACCACAGGTAATTTAAACTGCAGATAAGGGGGAACTACTCTGTGTGTGTATGTGTGTGTGTGTGTGTGTGTGTGTACATATATGTATAACTAAAGTTATGATAACCAAAGTATGATGAATTAATTTTATTTACACTGTATTTAGGTGGTCTAGAAATGTACTTAAGTTAGGTCGTATATATTTTAGAAGAAAGAAATTTGGAGAACACACTGTGATATAAAGGTTTATTTTAAAAGAAATATAGGGAGATAATAAACTTTCCTAAATACAAAAATCATGTTATGTAAAGACTTTATATAAAGATGTTATATGAAGATTTTTATATATTTTATAAAAAGACTTTACAAACCATAGAGTATCTTAGTTTAAAAAATATATTTGTTTATTTCTTTTAGAATATGGCATATGGAATAAATAAAGTATTAAAAATGAAAAAATAAAGACCTGCTAAAGATCTTTTACAACTTTTTAGTCAATACTTAACGATTTTCAAAGATCATTTATAACATCAGGAAAAAAAAATTCAAGTTTCAATTACCCCCGCCCCCGCCATGGTTCTTAATTTAAATTTAATTTTGCTACACATAACACGTTTTACTGAATTACAGGCAAAGAATTATAAACTCCTGAATTCAAAATTAACAAAACTTTACTTCAAGTTTCAATTACCCCCGCCCCCGCCATGGTTCTTAATTTAAATTTAATTTTGCTACACATAACACATGTTTTACTGAATTACAGGCAAAGAATTATAAACTCCTGAATTCAAAATTAACAAAACTTTACAATCTTCACAATCACGTGATCACATCTTTTATCTTACGCCTATAATCTTATGTCTTAAAACACTAATAAATACTTGCAGTCATATTACTCAATATCTTTCTATTTGAATTTATTTTCTCAACTTCTCAATTAGGCAAAGGTACAAACACACACCAATTTAAGTTTATAATATGCCTTAAGATGAGATTATTTTGATAGTAGTAAATTTAATACTACCCTAAATTATCTAGTTCATAACCTTTTAAAAGTACTTAAATTCTCAAATTGTCAATTATGCAGTATATGAAGATATTGTATAATTCAAAAGTTTGATAATTTGTTCAATTTTAAGAAATCATGGAAAATAACCAAGATTCAAACCAGAATGGAAGGTTTCATGATGACACAAATGCTAAATTAATGTTTAAAATTGCTATTTTCTCCTTAATACAGTTATATTAGAAAAACACAAAATGATAACAAAATAAAGCTCAGTTAAGATAATTGCTTTAAAGCATGTTAACATCATCTAAATAAATATTTATATTCAATCAAACAAGCAGCACACCACACACCAAAGTCAATTTCTCACTTCGGTTTCCCATAAAAGCTGACTGCAGGGAGACTTGAGGATCACTTCAAAAACAGAGAAAAAAGCTCCATTTTCAGAGCTAAAGAAACTTAGATATAAATCAGTGCAAATGATCTAATGTGAAAGGTTATTCTGGAAGATTATTATCAACTTATCTTCAAATATTCCATCTGTCATTATCATTAGCACTGCTGCAAATATAATGAAGATCACATTTCTAAAAAAGTAAATATTTTCTTAAAAGCCTAACCTAATAAAAATTATTTTTGCATAGGAACTTTGACTCCCAATAAATTACCATCTATATTAAATTTGCTGGAATAACTATCTTTGCATCTCACTTAGTAAAATCTCTCCTTAAGGGAAAAAGTCCTAAAATACAATTAAGAATGTAAGCATTATTATTAACAAAAGTTATCCAAAGTGAAGCACAGATTTTTAAAATAAGGCAATTAACAGTTGTTGCCTTAGTTATAAACAGAGCGTGTCATAAATAAGACTATTATTACCAAGATAAATCACTTCTTCAAAAGTAAATAACTTACAGTGTACTCAACAGTCCCTTTAGGTTTCTGAAAAGACATTCGTCTCCCATCTTTCTTGTCTAGGGTCTTCTTTTGGCCAGTGTCTGGAAAAAGAATAAGGTAAAACTCCTATTAAATTCATTTTCCTTTCAGAGTAATGTCAAAAACTGCTGACTGGAGCTCACTGGACAGATATCTAATTCACTAGTAATACAGCCTCCTTTCTGTATTACTCTAAAAAACAATCAACCGTAAAAAAAAAAGTACTGTACGCCCCTGCTTGCTTTAGGAACTGACCAGTATGCACCAGTATAATAATTGGAAGTCAATTCAAAACATAAGTAACTGTCAACAGAAAGGAAGTTATTAAAAACTAAATTATGGACCATTTCTTTTTAACATACTTAACCTAACTATAACAAACTATATTTGAAGATATATATGATATATATTTTTAAAAAATATATATTATGATGATGAACCAAACCAAATCTAAAAACGTAACATTAGTACCCACAAGAGAAAATTTCTCTACTTCTGCAAGTCATACTTAAACAGAGTCTGCTCTATGGAATTATAATAAATTATTAACTTCCTTATTTGTATACCATGAAGTAAATTAAGGTATGCTTTCATATAAAAACATACTTTTAATTTAGATTAAGTGCCCATTACATTTCACTTGGATATACCATTAAGAATAAGGTATCTGTTTCAGTTTAAAGTTTACATTAGTGTTAACCTTCTCATCTGTTTCATTATCATTAAGAATAAGGTATCTGTTTCAGTTTAAAGTTTACATTAGTGTTAACCTTCTCATCTGTACTTCATGTAACAAGGACTGTGCTGAATTGATAAAATACCACTATCTAAACATCTAAAAATGATTAAAATAAAAATAACTTTAAAAATCTAATAAAAAAACACAAAATTAAATAAGACAGTAAATATAGCAAAATACTGTATTTACTCTCAAAAGTTTTTCAAAGAAAAATAAATACTAATTAAACCCAAATAACCTAGAAAACATCTGTTTCATTGTTCTCCCTCTATCCAAACAACTGACATTTTGACTAGAGTTTGTTTATATGTACCTAATTAGCTCAGTTGTTGGGTGAATGGTTCTAATGATACATTAAAAATAATAATAATGTCTGAATCCCCCCAAAAAACCAGTTAGCTCTGCAATGCTTAAAAATGCTGTCCTGAAACCTTCCCGATCACCCAGGCTAACCCAAGACTCTGTTATTAATCACATAGGATCTTTATTTCTACTTCATAGCATCTGGCACAGTTTTAAGTTAATATCAGCATTTTTAATCTCTTTCACTAAACTCTAACCTGCAAAACACCACCTACTTTGTTCCACAATGCTTCCTGAATGCCTAAGGACCTGAAACATGGCAAGCATTTAATATAAATGAACTAATGTTCTGAAGCAACAACTTGAATTGTACCTAGAACTACCACAATTCTTATAAACTGTCATTAATTTTCTATAAAGAAAAGCAGACAAAGTATTATGGTTCATACGTTAGAACTCTAGGAAAAAATGTACACACATACATACATACACACACAAGCTACTTCATATCCTAAATATTTAAAGAACTCTTAAAAACTGAAGGGGGAAAAATCAGATAAAAAATGGTCATAAGATATCAGGCAATTCACAAAAGCATGTAAAAATGGCCCTTAAACATGTAAAACAATGTTCAATCTCACACATAATTAGAGAAACGCAAATTTAAACTACACCAAGAATCAGATAAAAAATGGTCATAAGATATCAGGCAATTCACAAAAGCATGTAAAAATGGCCCTTAAATATGTAAAACAATGTTCAATCTCACACATAATTAGAGAAACGCAAATTTAAACTACACCAAGATACTTCTCACCTATCAGATTGGTAAAAATTTAAAAGCTTAGCCAAATACTGATTGACTGTAGGAAAACAGTTCTACATTTCTGATGGGAATGCAAAACGGTACAATTCTTGTAAAGAAGATTATTTTTGCTTATCAGAGTATTCTAATTTTTTCTGCACTGAATAGCTTATATTTAAATTTGCTTCTCTAATGAGAAAATAAAACATTAAAACTATTCTAAAATAAAGTAAGTTTTAAATAGTAATTTATTGCTACTATTGTATAAATAGCAGAAGGAGCCACAAACTTTCTTCATTTTATAATTCAAACTTCCTCAAGCAATGCAAAATACAATTACAGATTACTTTTAACTAATAATGTATCCATTCTTAATTGATTTTAGGAGTAACCATTAGTCTACATTTACTTATCCTGATAGCAGTTTTTCAATCTGTTTCATAATATCCCAAGAGTTCATTAAACATTTAATCACAGGAAGTTTGCGATTCCTCTATCACTTTCAAGAGCTCGCCATGGAATGCAGTCCAGAACAAGAAAACTAATATACCAGCTTTCTAGTTTAAAGTTTGAAAAATGAATTGAAAATATTCACTCTAATTACTGAAAATTCTAAAATATTTTGAAATATTTTTTTCTATTATAAAAAATAGTCCTAAACTTTAATAACCAATATTAAAACATTTATTCATAGATATAAATGTCAGAACACAAACTGTTCATTTTCTTCTATCAATATGAATCTAGATTGGGAGTAGAAAAAGGAGAAGCCCTATACTTCTTCTGCACAAAATTTACTGCAGTTTAAAAATACAGACTTGTTTGTGGTTTATTTCATAACAGAAATAATATGTAGCCTTCGTCAAGTATCTACTATATGCCAAACACTGCTCCAAGTACTTCACATACATTATTTCATCTAATTAATTGACCCATCCCCCCCATGAAGCAGGTAACATTATTATCCCCTTTTCACAACTGAGGGAACAGAGATTAACAGCAATCATACAATTAAGAAAATAGCAGTGATGGAATGCAAACTTGGCCAACTGAATATAAAACCTGCACTCATAATTACTCTGCTATTTAAAACCACTCACTAGAATATTAGCTTCATGAGGGCAGAGGCCATGATTGGCAGTCACCACTATATACCAGTGATCCTCAACCAGACACAATTTTTGCCCTCTCCAGTGGTTATGGCAATGCCTGGAGACATTTCTGGTTATCAAAATTGGGGTGTGTTACTAGAGTATGTAGAAGCCATGAAGGCTGCTTAAAATCCTACAATGTATAGGCAGCCCCACAACAAAGAATTATCTGTCCCAAAATGTCAATACTGCCAAGGCTGAGAAAACCTGCTATATACCCACCACATATTATTATGCATGGCATATAGTAGGTGTTCAATAAATATGTGATAGAGAAATGAATAAACAAGACTTTCCCTGAGATACAATCATCTTGGTATACTGGAAAGAATAAAGGAGTTAGATTTTACTCCATCACTGCCAGAAGGAGAAAACTTAACGTAATCTACAGCAATAAATTCCCATCAAGCTGAAACCTACAAGTTTTGATAATTCAACTCCAAATACTTTCTAACTTCTCCTCTAATTTCTTCCTTTACCCATGTTCTATTTAGGGAATATTGCTTAATTTGTCAGCAAATGACATTTTTTTTTGTTTGTTTGTTTCTTTTTTCGTGTCCGGCAACGGATCACAACCCTCAGTGTCGCGCCTGTACCAGACCGGGACTGGCAACGGGATCGCAACCCTCGGTGGCGCGCCTGTACCAGACCCGGGCCG